TCGGCTGGAGGGGACACGGCGTAGTGTGGCGGTTTGAATTCGTACAGAGGAAAATGGTAGTTTTACGTTTCAGATCGTGGTTACCTCGGAGGGTAAAAGAACTCAGACTTTTCTTCCCATTTCGGATTTTGGGGACGGCTGGAAGGGTGTGGCACTGGTTCTGGAAGGGTGTGGCACTGGTTTTGGAAGGATTTGCTAAAGGGGATGGTTGGGTGACCCAGATTGATGCGGGTAAGAAGGGGCCAAAAGGGTGGAGAGTTGCCACAGCAGCTGCGGGGGCAGTTGACCCAATGGAGGTCAGCGATACGGTGGTGCAGGGTGTGATAGAGGAGGGGTGGTTTGATCTGTTGGAGAGGGCACTGGTGGGTCAAGTGGGAGAGGTGGGGAGCAGAGGAGTTGGGTTCTCGGCTATGGTGGAATGGGTTGCCCGTTGGTGGAAGGGGGTCGGGCGAGTGGAGATTCGTCCGATAGGGAGCCAGGCCTTTTATTTGTTTTTCCAGCTCTGTGTGAGGCCGAGGATGTGTTGCGGCGCAGAGGGTGATTGATGGATGCGATTTAGCTTTGCGATGGTGGTCACCGACTGTGCTTTGCGACAAAGGGAAGACGTTTGCGACAAGGGGAAGACGTCGGGGGTGGTGATGTACAAATGGGTTAAGGTGATGGGTATACCTTTGCACCTTCGTGGGAAAGCAACCTATTGGGCCGTTAGCGATCGGTGTGGGGGTTTTGTGGAGGTCGACGAACAGTTGACTGATCTAGGAATGGTTCGTTTGAAGAGGGAGAAGCCTTCCTGCTAGGGTTTTGCTTCGTTGGGAGTCGTGGTTGTACTCGCTACCAGTTTGGCCAGAGTCGGGGCCATCATTTGAAGCTTCCCAGCTGGCGACAGTAACGAATAAGGAAACCGGAGTATGGAGGCGTGAAGATCAACGGATTTGGGGATATGGAAGATTTGGGAAATGTCGTAGCTTTGGGAAGGAGGGTTGTAGGGATGGGTTTCTGGGCAGACCAAATGCAAGGACCCTAGTCAACAAATTAGGCTAGGGGAATTTGGGCCCCGTGGTCTCTCAAGTCAAGAAGGTGGGCCAGGGGGTTTTGGGCTCTACAACTTGGGTGCCTATGCATGTGAGCTAGTCTTCTTTGGTTAGAAATCTAGTCGTACGGCCAAGTGGGTTTTTGAACTCTCCTCAGGCCTAAGAAGCATGGACACGGACACGTGACACGATACGGATACGACACGAATACGCCGACACGCCAATTTTCAAAAAATGCAAGACACGACACGTGAGGGACACGCATAAAATCTATAATTTTATATATTTATTATATGTTATATATATGAATATATCATTCAAAGATAATAAAAAATTACAATATGACACTAATTCCTATAAATTTATATGATTTTTGTTTTATTATTGTATTTTAAGTTGTTTTGTTCAAATTTATAATTAGTTTTACTTGTGTCAAATCAATAGATACGTGTGTTTAAGTAACAGACACGCGTGTCCTCCAAGTGTCCAAAGAGTGTCTAACTCTTTAAAAAAAATTAAAAAATAGGACACGTTTTGAAGAGTGTCGAACACGTGTCGGGAAAGTGTCCAAAGAGTGTAGGTGTCCGACACGGACACGACACGGATACGTCACCTTTTTAGAAGTGCCCGTGCTTCTTAGCCTCAGGCCCTAGCTTAAGGGATACCTGGCCCAGCAAGGGAGGTGGGCCCACTGGTGAATCCAACTATTGACCAGATCTTCGGGTCGTTGCACGCTGCTGTTGGGTTGGGTCACCGAAATTACGGCAGTGAGGCGCCAATATTGGGGATGGACGACACGACAGCGCCGCTAAGGCCGGCGGGGTCTCCAGCGCCGTTACACCACGGGCAGCACACAGCGGCTGGTGGATCAGCTTCTTCACCTTCGCCGCTTAGGGAGGAGCTCGGTGGGGTAGAGCAGGGACGACAGGAGGACCGTGAGGAGTGGGGGGCAGAATCGAAGGTTGGCAGGGCAGAGATGGGTGATGGCCTAGCTTTAGTACTCCAGCCATTGGCAATGGAAGCTGGGGAAATGGTGGTGGCCAACTCGAAGTCTGATAAAGAGCAGAATTTGAAGGTGAATTTCCAGACGGAGCATCCACCGACGTCGGATGAGGTTTCTGAGTGGGTGTTGGCTCGGATTGTTGAGGTTAGTAAATTTTTTGGGGTTTCTTTTGAAGGGCATGAGAAAGAGGCTTTGAAATTGTTTTCGGCCATTAAGATGTCATGGCAAGAGGGTGTGTCAGGCCACGGGCCAGAAGGATAGAGGAGACCGGGAATTATGCAGATTAGAATGTTCCATCAATTATGATAGTAACAGGACCAGGGATGGTCAGCGGATGAGGAAGGGGCGTGGAGATCCTTTGTTGTTGCCATGCATTTGAAAATATTGATTTGGAATGTGCGAGGTTTAAATGATAAAGGAAAGCGGGCAATGGTTAGATCATTATTGAAGAGTGCTAGAGCGGATGTGGTGTGCTTTCAGGAAACCAAAATAAAGTGTGTGGGGGTGGATGTTGTCAGGGATATCTGGGGTGGTAGGTATGCGGATTGGGCCATCCAACCTGCTATAAGGACGGCAGGTGGTGTTCTTATGTGTTGGGATAATCGGGTGGTGGTGAAGGAGGGGGAAGAGGTGGGAGGTTTTTCCTTATCTTGTCTGTTCAGATGTGTTGATGATGACTTTTGTTGGGTGCTTAGGAGGGTATATGGGCCGGTCAGGAGATCGGAGCGGGTGGCTTTTTGGGAGGAGTTACAGGCTGTTGTTTTTTGCTGGGGGAGGCCTTGGTGTGTGGGTGGAGACTTCAACGTTGTGTGGAGTCCAGAAGAGAAGATAGGGGCAAGTCAGGTGACGGGGCTGATGAGGGCGTTCTCCTCTTTTATTGATAGGTTGGAGTTAATCGATATGCCGTTGCAGGGAGGCGGTTATACCTGGTCCGGAGGTCGGGCAATGTCTTGTATTGATAGATTCCTAGTCACGGGGGATTGGGAAGAGCATTTTTCCCAAATGTTCCAGGTTTGATTACAGCGTCCGGTTTCGGATCATTGGCATGTCTTATTGGATAGTGGGGGAGTGCGGCGTGGCCCGACGCCTTTTCTGTTTGAGAATATGTGGTTACAGGCCGAAGGCTTTGGCAAGACGGTAAATGAGTGGTAGGGGAGTTATAGTGTGGCCAGGTTGGATGGCTCAAAAGTTAAAGCTGCTTAAATTTGATTTGAAGTGGTGGAATCAGGAGGTGTTTGGTCAGTTGAAGGTACAAAAGGCGAGTACTTTGTCGGTTTTGCAGGGGTTGGATGAGAAGGAAGAAATAGAGGGCTTATCAAAAGATGATGTGGTGTGTCGGGAGAGGGCGCGGAAGGATTATGGCCGGATTGCTAGGATAGAGGAGATTAGTTTTCGCCAGAAATCCAGGTGCTTGTGGTTGAAAGATAGAGACTGCAATACCAAATTTTTCCATCGGATGGCCAATGCTCACCGGCGGGTGAATCAGATAGGGAGGTTGCGGGTGAATGGGGTGATGCTTTCTTCAGAAGTGGATATCCGAAATGGGATGAGAAGGAAGAAATAGAGGGGGCTTATCAGAAGATGATGTGGTGTGTCGGGAGAGGGCGCGGAAGGATTATGGCCGGATTGCTAGGATAGAGGAGATTAGTTTTCGCTAGAAATCCAAGTGCTTGTGGTTGAAAGATGGAGACTGCAATACCAAATTTTTCCATCGGATGGCCAATGCTCACCGGCGGGTGAATCAGATAGGGAGGTTGCGGGTGAATGGGGTGATGCTTTCTTCAGAAGTGGATATCCGAAATGGGATCATGGGCTTCTACCAGCATCTTTTTAAGGCTGAGAGGGAGGGGTGGCGACCGGATTTGGAGGGAGTTACTTTTGATACTATTTCAGATGAGGCGGTGTTGATGCTGGAGCGCTCATTTGCGGAGGAGGAGGTCTGGGGTGCGTTGAGGAGTATGCCCGGGGATAAAGCCCCTGGGCCAGATGGCTTTTCCATGGCCTTCTTCCAACAATGCTGGAGGGTGGTGAAGGTGGAAGTGATAGTTGTATTTGATCAGTTTTATCAGGAGGGACAGTTTGAGAAGAATCTTAATGCCACTTTTATTGCTTTGATTCCCAAGAAAGGTGGGGCGGAAGATATTAGAGAGTTTCAGCCAATCAGTCTTTTGGGCAGTGTCTACAAATTATTGGCTAAAGGATCTCCACATCCCTAATTGCAATTCTCAAGTAACTATTCGCATCCCTTTAAAAGTGAACTTTTCAACCTCAAAACCCTATTCAGTCACCCCTAAATCAACCTAAATCCTTTCTTTTACCTATTGGCCTTCAATTTAACCATTAATAACCTCAATTACCCATTGTTTAGGCCGTCAAATAAACTCTATTCTGAAAATCCAGCAAGCTGTCCTACATGAGGTATGGTAAAGCTAAAATGCAATTCAAGTAAACCTGACCTGTTGATCCCTTGGCTTTTCCGGCGATACGAACATATAAAATAATACCAAACCAAGCAAAGTATATGAAGTCCTATGCACAATGATTATGATAATTTTATAATGTTTTGAAACCTTGTCAAACTCAGGAGTGATGGAAACATTAGAGTAGTCTAGTAAAAGGAACACAAATGGTTGTGGAAGTTCAAATTATTGGTTTGTTTTATCTTTCCTCCACACAAACAGTACAATTCTTTAGTCACTTTGGACGGCAGAAAGCCAAAAACCTTTTAGGATACCAACACAAACAAGACCTCCCTGAAAAGTTCATGGTACTGAGAGTCATCATATAATATATAAGTCAATCTAAATTGGAATATTTTCCAACACGTTGTTTTGAAAGAAAAAAAATCATTTTACCTTTACTAGTGAATATGAAAAAATGGCAATCAAGTGATGAATAGAAAGATTTGCATATGACAACAACACCGAAGGAAAACAAACTGACATTGAAAGTTCTTTGTGGCTTACAGTAGCACTTAAGAAAAAAGGGATTAGACCGATGGCGATATCATGTGATATTGCTTCATTGAGTGATTCAGGAGAAAGGGCATATTCAGAGGACGCATCCGTCTTCAGAAACCTACAATTCTCTGGGTGAATCCCTCCTATCTGCCACAAACAATAGACATCAAAAAAGTTGTAAACTTGAACACCATAACTAGGCAGTATGCACATATTCAAAAAAGCAACCCTATTTTCAAGATAGCTGACAGAAATGTCTGAAGGAGTCACACTGTTTGAATGACGGTCATAGCTACATGATCGTGCAATTATGTGTTGGTTCCTAAACAGAAACCCCTAGAAAACTGGAATGAAAGGCATGAACATGCGAAGCCATTTTGTAATGTGTTACCAAGAGCTCTTTGTAGTGATTGTATTGATGTGTATCAAGGCTTATGTCTCAAATATATATAGAAACACAGACATAGAATTCTACCTTCTCAGTTGTGAATCAGCTGCCTAATTTAACCTAGATAAACATCAGCTACATAACAGTTGCATAACACTAAATTCTACGGTTTGTAAAAGAGTACTATGATCTAAATTCAAATGTTGTCGTACACAGCTCTCAAGATACACCATTGATTGATGTGTAATGTTAAGCTTTTCTACAGCATACCCAAATAACTGGATGATGGTCATGTGGCCTAGTGGCATGCATGCATCAGTAAAGATCCATTCAGTTATAAATGGTTGCCAACGATTGTAGGCAATCAACTTAATATTTTGGCAACCATCATGCAAATTCCTTACTCACACAATTCTGAAAAGCATAATTTTGGGGTGGTTTTTGATAGTTAAATGAAATTTCATGGCAAGATGCACAAGTTTTTAGGGATATTTTGTAGGAGAGCTGAAATAATTTGAGTTTGTTCTGCACAAAGTGTGAAGTACTAAAATTTCAGAGACCAGGCAGGATACTAAACCTGGTCCTGACTTGCTATATAGTAATAAATAAACAAAACAGTGCCATCCCTTTGAAAGAGGGTACAAAATACTCGTGAATTTCCAATTATACCTGGCAGGCTTTCTGCAAAGCTGAATGTGTTTGATCAGATCCATAAACTACAAGCTTTCCGATGGCATCTTTTCCAACCCTTCTTAAAACTTTATCACGAGCAGCCAATAGCACAACTAGAACAGCTTCACTTGCTGTACCCTGTATTACTCCACCACCTTGTCCTGCGATAGGGTTCCAAACAGAAAACCTTATGTCACTATCAATGTATCATTAATCAGTTGAACTAGTAAAGCTTCTTTTGTAGGAAGAAAGAGAAAATAGGTACAAAGATAAGTGCACTAATTAGAATGCCCTTCAAATCAAGCAAACTACTGCTACAAAACAGCCCATTTCAATAAATTTCGAAAAATATTATAAGCCTCTATTTGAGGTTTTAATTTCAACATCCACAAACTTCTCTGAGCTAATTTAATCTCTGCTAAAAACCATTTAGTCGCTTGGACTTGGGTCAATGTATGATTCCTTACGACTGAGACTTATTTTCTTTGCCAATCACTAAAATTGTCCAAGATGTTATATTATGTCAGCAATCTTCTCTTCCTAGTTCATGAACTGGAGAACTGGTATGTTCTAAAAGATTTGAATTCCATATAATGGTAAAAAAGCCAAACTTAAAACTCTAGAGGTCTTTCTCCACATGATGTAGCAGTTCAAATCACCAATCTTTCAGAAATCAAATGATCAATAACTGAAATCTTATTCAAACATATCACTTACTAGGAATGAAAATATCCCACTCCAACTTCTCGGAAACTCCACCTTCTTCAAACTAACCAAATGTGTAAAGAAATTCGACCATCAAAGGAAAAAATACAGCTATCAAGAATAGCCATACAATAATCCAGGTTTTAGCATCCAACTATATAAAATCACATGTAAATACCACTGCAATCCAACCCCCATTCGTGAGACAGTGAGCATGAAAGAAGATTCTAAGTGAAATCCTGACTTAAACCATCACCAAATGATGGGGCACATCAGAAAACAGATGCAATATGAGGACAAAAGAGGCCTGTTACCACATCATTTCTCCAAGCAAAATCTGATGATGACCCATCACTCCTCGCTTTAAAACAAAATATGTACTCAAAATGCACCCTTGGACCTTGACTATGAAATGTATGAAATGTTTTCTCGCAAACTAATAACAGAGTTCCTAAAACCTCATTAGCTTATATGCCTGTATTTAGCTGAGATTTACATCATAAATAAATAAATAAACAAAAAATAAAAACTAGCCTTTTCTTCCAAACCTTCATAACCATTTGCCAGAAAAAGCCCTTTCCATGAAGTTCTAAATGATCAGTATGGTCTCAACAACCAAGGAAGAACACAGATCTACCCAATTGACTACCCACTTCCTATTTCTTCCTTCTTTTTGTCCTTTCTGCTTAGGTATTCACCCACTCTTTATATCCTTTCACTTCTCGTCAACCAAACTTAGTTAAAGCCGTAAGTTATATTCAGAATTCTGGTCCGACAGATTAATTAAAGCTCACCAAGTCCGCCTCCGCCTAGAGTAACATATAAAGCTAAGTTGCCATTTTATAATGTCTAAAAAATAAAGCACCAAATCTTTTTTTATTCTTCTTCTCTTTAACAAATCTATTAACCACCTCAGCTTGAATGACATCAACCATCAAAATGAAAAAGGCAAATGCAAAGGTCTCTTTTGTCTTGAGAAAAAAGAATGTTTATTTTTGAACTGGGAAAAAGTTGTACCTTCCAAGTTACTACAAGAATCAAATGCTAATAAATATAGACATAGCAAACTATACCTGTTGAAAGGAAATCATCAGGAAGCTTAAGAAGTTTAGCAAGCCAATCCAGAACAATCATTTCAAGTTCTGTTGCTGCAGGAGAAGTTATCCAACTAAAACCCACCATGTTAAAACCAGCACTGAGCATTTCTCCTAAAAATCCAGCGATACTACTATTAGAGGGAAAATATGCAAAATAATCCGGGCTTTGCCAATGGGTTACCCCTGGTAAAATCTTTGACTGGACATCTGCACCCACAATTAAAATACAAATATAGATTGATATGGTAAGAGCAAAATAGCGAAGAAATGATTCATGTTGCCAACCCCATTTGAGTGGGACACATTACTTAGTTTGGTGGTTGGTATATACATTGATATGGTGTATGCAATTAAACATTTTTCTGTTCAATTTTTAGGCCTCTTGATGAAATAGTTTAAAAGTATGCACAGGATTAAGAAACTTCACCACTGAGAACATCTTGCAATGATTCTGGTTGATTTGGTGCGGAATCCGGAAGAAGTTTACTCAGATACCCGGGCTGCAGAAAAGTTCAATTTTTTTTTTTTGTATCCATGAATGAAATGGGACTGATAGCACAAACATCGTAACTAAAGCACACGTGATAACTATTAAATTCTTTCCTCTTTCATAACCAAAAATCAAAGAATAATAATATCAATAAATTCCCAAATTACGAATTGGACCATTACTTTAAAAAAACACATACACGAATCATCTACAATCCCCAAATTTACAGTTTTGATATAAAGAGCAAGAATCATCTTTTTTATACAGTATGCTTCATTTCTTAACTACTATTAAGTAAAACCACTGAAAGATTAACATGAAATCTACTTGCACAAAACAAAAACAAAAACAAAAAATTCTAGACTAATTAACATTGTTAAAATCCTCGAGCACTAGAAATTTCTAAAAAAAATAACAATGCAAAGATTGAAACAAAGAACCCACAGAAAAATAGTTCATGATTGCAACTAAGAATAGGCTTTGATTGATTTTCTTGCAGAAACAGATGTACCCACAAAATTAATTAATCAAAATACATAAAAATAAGTTAATAGACAGAACAAAGAAACAAACAAATAAGTAATTGAAGATTATGGAAACCTGAACTTGGCTGAGAACTGGGAAATTCTCAATGTTCTTGTAATAATCAGCAATGAAATCTACCATTTTGTGAGCATTCTCTCTCAGTTGTTCTGCATCCATTGGCTTCAAACCACCACCATCCCTAATGATATATCAAACCCAGCAGACCAAACAGAATAGAGAAAACAAGTAAAAATGACAATATTCAAAACATCATTCACAGCACAACCATTCCACTGAAAGAAGAAGAAGAAAACAGGATACACTTACATGTTGTTTTGTTTGTGGGAGTGGTGTTGGAAGTGAAAATGGTGGGTGTGGGTATAAAGAGGGTGATTATTATATGCATAAGAGATTGAGAAAGAAAGGCAAAAGGATGCTCGGTTTTGAAGAGACTCGACAAAATCTAGGACGGCATTGCGACTCGTCAGTTACGAGACTCCTCTCACAACCTTCTGCCCGAGAAGTTATTGGTTGGTCCTGGGCACCTTGCCCAACAGTGTTTTCATTGGTGGAGGAGGCTGGTTCCACGAATATTGTGATTGGTGATAGAGTACCGCTATTGGTGCCTCGGGAACACCAAATAATTTTTCCTTCTTCCGCCCCTGTGCTGCATTCGCCCCGTGTGGATTTTTTTCTTTTACAATATTATTTATACTAACATATCACCTATGGAAGGCACGAATTGTGTTTTTAATTATTTATATATGTAAATTATGATTTTTAAATATTTTTTTTATATTATATTAAAGTTTAATATTTTAATAATAATCATATGTAGCCTATTTTGTTTTTTGTGGCTAAAATAGCCAAAAAAGCCTCCAACCCACCTTCCCAAACGGTGCCTAAAGGAATGAGTTTGAACTTGATTTTTAAATTTGTTTATTAATTGAGTTAGTAGTTTCAAGTTCGGCTTAATAAAGAGAAATAATTTTTAAATATTTAAAAAAAATTGATATTTATTTTTATTAAATTAGTTTATATTTTATCAAATTGATAAATTTGCCCTTGAAATTAAGCAATAGTATCTTCAATTATCTTTATTTGAAAAAAAATTTAAAATTCATGATCAAATGTATTATAATTAAAAAGTCATGATCAAACTGTTAGGATAATTAGCTCTTTTTTTTTTTTAAAGTGTAAATTACACTGACTCTCTTGAGGTTTATTTTTAATACAAGACACCCTTTCATGCTCTAAAAATTAAATTCTCCACCCTTAAGTTTAAACTTTTGTTACAATTTAATCATTCCATTAGTAAATCGTTAAGTCAACTAATGAAAGAAATTAATGTAATAAATTAATTTTTTAAATGTCTATTTAACTCTTATTCAAAAAAAGTCAAAAGTCAATTTTTTAACCCATTTTAAATCACATCACCTCTCACATGAAACAGTAAAAAAAGTCAAAAAAACTAACTTTTAACCATATTCCCAAAACACTCATAAAAAAAAACTTTTTTAAAAAATTACTAGATAAGTAAATAAAATCTGTAAGGAATTACAAAAATTCATTTAATACTAATACATATATTATTATACTATTAAACATTTAGGTGATGTTATGGCACACAAGTTTTTGTGGTGTTAATCATCACAAATATTATAATTCAATCATTTTTAATCATATTAAAAAAATAGTTATAATTAAACACCACATAAAGTATAACTAAATACCTTTTTAATCATAACCAATATAATGTTATAATCAATAGTTATAACTAACACCATAATAGGTTATAATCAAAGACAACGACTGGGGCATATAAAATTTTCTTAAACGATAAATTGTTTATCAATTTTATATACACAAACAAAAGTAAAATAGGCATTTTAAAAATTAATTTCTTATATTAGTTTTTTTCCGTTGGTTGACTGAATAGTTGACTAACGGAACGATTAAATTGTAATGGAAATTTAAATCTTAGAGAGGGAGATATAATTGTCAGAACGTGAGGGGGTACTTGTACTGAAGGCAAACCTCAAGAGGTGTTAATGTAATTTACCCTTTTTTTTAAACAAATTATTACTTTAAAAAAATATCTAAATCATGTGTTTTGAGTTTGATTTCAATTTTCTAAATTTAATTGTTTTAAAATTGAGTTTTTTTTTTATTTTTTATAATTTTTTTTATTTTTAGTGAATTTTTTAAATATTTTTAGTTTTTATTTTTTATTTTTTAGATATACTTAATATAAATACAATTAAAAAGTATAATATTTGTAAAAAAAAAAAAACTTTAAAAATTCACTAAATGGCAAGAATATTTTTAAAAAATACAAGAACTTAGTATATATTTTTAATTCTTGTGTATTTATTGATATTTTTTTAAAAAAAATTTACAAATATTTTACTTTTTAAGTATATCTAGGTTAGGTATATCTAAAAAGTGAAAATTTTACTTAAATTTTTTTTTAAATTCACTAAAATATATATATATATATATATGAAAAATAAAAAATTTAAATTTCAAAAAATTGAATTCAGAAAATTAGAACCAAATAAGGTTTCTTTCAATATTCGAAAACAATATTGAACGTAAGGTACAACTTGGGTGGGCTCTACCCTACTAATTTTGAGACTAACGTAAAGTGGCCCGCGTGCGTGGTTTCAAGAAATTGATAGTACCTAATGAGAATTACACCTGAAACATGCAAAAAGCACACTCCGAATCTCAAACTGCATCCACTAGGCTAAACTTTTGAAGTTATGTATATATAAATTACACGGTCGACTCTGGAATAAAGTCTCATTTGGTAGAGCTGTGCGAAAGTAATTATAGATTATGACTTAACAGATTATAAATTATAACTTAAAAGAAGTTGTTAACCTGTTTGATGCAGCTGTGAGATTATAAATTTAATCAGTCGAGTAGTTTTTGATTGAATAAGTTGTAAAATAATTTTTTGCTATGTAATGTCCTTTTTGCCCTTTTTCATTTTATTTTTATATATTCATTTTAATTATTTATTTCTATATTTATTTTCTTTATTACTATTTTTTTTTCTTTTTATTTCATTTTCTTTCATTAATATCAATTGGCAACAATTGTTATTTTTTCATTTTCTTCAATTTTATTTATTTTTTTTAAATTGTGATTCTTTTTTATTAAATTTTTTTCATTACAATTAACAATATAAAAATTATTATTTTTTTAATTTATTAATTCATTACAAAATATACCAATTAGTATTTGTTTCTTAACTTTTTTCCATTAACCCTAGCTACCGTCGCCAGTGGCTAGGGTTTCACATCGAAGATCGCAATCGCGAGGGTGAGCTCTGGTAGATCAATCGTGATGGTGAGTTTTAGTTTGAGATCGTCACGTCGTCGATGGTGGTGGTTAGGGTTAGTCGACGCCGAAAATTACTGAAAATCGTCTTCATCTCTCTTTGGTTTATGAATAATATTGAGATGTGGTTTATATATTTGGATTTTTGGTAATAATTGAAATTGATAAGGAGCATTTAAGTAATCTTGTACCTCCAATACAATTTTTCCGCTTAAGTCGTAATTGCTTAAGCACCTCCCAGCCCACTTCTCAAAATTCACGATTTTTTGCTTAAATTAAACTACCAAAAGTCGAGTTAAGCTGAATCAAACACTCAAAATAGCTTAACTTAAGCCAAAAGCTAAGTTAAGCTATTTTTAAGCAATACCAAACACCCACTAAGACTAGCAAGACCTATGCCTAAGACCCAAGAAGAGGCTGTAGATTCATTAGTTTTATACTATATTAAAATTTCGAAAATAACCCAATTTTGTTTCATTAATTTAGGCTAGTTTAAGGGCCAAAAAAATTATATTTGACCCAATTGATAAAAGGCCCAATTAAAAAATATTTAAAAGTATTAGTTGTTAGCCAATTGAAAAAATAAAAAATAAAATATATGTGTATGTATTAGTCTTTAGCCCCATTCTATTTGGCCTTTTTTTCTTTTTTTTTAAATCTCTCTTTATGGCCCAATTATGTGTTTTTTCAGTGGATTTTTAAAATATTTTATGCAATTTTTTATTTTATTTTGTAGATACACCTAATCTAGATACTTAAAAAGTATAATATTTATGATTTTTTTTATAAAAAAATACCAAATATAAAAAAATACAAATTGCAAACTCATAAAATTATTTTTGAAAACTCTAAACCAAACAGGGTGATTTTTTATTTTTATTTTTTTATAAATATTAGCAAAAATGCTTTAGACCACTAATTAGTAGTGACTCTAATGATGTGGCAGTGGGTCCCACCCACTGCCACATGTGTTTTGTGTCTTATTTTTTTTTTTTTCTTTTTTTTTTTCAATTACCACCTCACTAGTGGTAGTATTAGTGATGGTAAATTAGTGGTCTATAACATTGCTCAAATATTTGAAGGCATGCATTAAAGTGTTATTATGAGAGATAATAATAATATGTGTTGGGATTTTTCAACGAATTCATGTGTTGAATTTCAAAGAATTTTTTTTATGTTTATTCTTAATGCATTAAAGTGTTATTATGAAGGTATGATTGGGGGTTGGGACAAGTTAATAAATGCTAAGGTTTTTTTTTAAATTAAAAAATCAAGAAATTTAGATTGGGAGATTGGAGCTCCCATAAGGCTTGGGGTTAAAAACCCCTCTTTACTTAATATATGGTATAGATTTGTGGTTTCACTTTTTAAAGGTTTTTTTTTAAAACAAATTATTAATTTCAAATTATATTAAATATATCAAACATTTATTTATTATATGATTATTATGTACACACATAATAAAAATTAATTTGATAAAAAATAAATTTGTAAAAGATTTATTAATTTTACATAATTTTATTTCTAGTGGTAGAAATAATTTTTAAACATTTAAAAAAAATTGATATTTATTTTTATTAAATTAGTTTATATTTTATCAAATTGATAAATTTGCCCTTGAAATTAAGTAATAGTATCTTCAATTATCTTTATTTAGAAAAAAATTTAAAATTCAGGGTCAAATGTATTATAATTGAAAAGTCAGGATCAAACTGTTAGGGTAATTTGCTCTTCTTTTTTTTTAAGTGTAAATTACACTAACTCTCTTGAGATTTATTTTTAATACAAGTCACCCTTTCATGCTCTAAAAATTAAATTCTCCACCCTTAAGTTTAAACTTTTGTTACAATTTAATCATTCCATTAGTAAATCGTTAAGCCAACTAATGAAAAAAATTAATGTAATAAATTAATTTTTTAAATGTCTATTTAACTCTTATCCAAAAAAAGTCAAAAGTTAGCTTTTTAACCCATTTTAAATCATATCACCTCTCACATGAAACAGTAAAAAAAGTCAAAAAACTAACTTTTAACCATATTCTCAAAACACTCATAAAAAAAAAAAACTTTTTTAAAAAATTACTAGATAAGTAAATAAAATCTGTAAGGAATTACAAAAATTCATTTAATACTAATACATATATTATTATACTATTAAACATTTAGGTGATGTTATGGCACACAAGCTTTTGTGGTGTTAATTATCACAAATATTATAATTAAATCATTTTCAATCATACTAAAAAAATAGTTATAATTAAACACCACATAAAGCATAACTAGACACATTTTCAATCATAACTAATATAATGTTATAATCAATAGTTATAACTAACACCATAATAGATTATAATCAAAGATAACAATTGAGGCATATAAAATTTTCTTAAACGATAAATTGTTTGTCAATTTTATATACACAAACAAAAGTAAAATAGGCATTTTAAAAATTAATTTCTTATATTAGTTTTTTTCCGTTAGTTGACTTAATAGTTGACTAACGGAACGATTAAATTGTAATGGAAATTTAAATCTTAGAGAGGGAGATATAATTGTCAGAACGTGAGGGGTACTTGTATTGAAGGCAAACCTCAAGAGGTGTTAATGTAATTTACCCTTTTTTTTAAACAAATTATTACTTTAAAAAAATATCTAAATCATGTGTTTTGAGTTTGATTTCAATTTTATAAATTTAATTGTTTTAAAATTGAGTTTTTTGTTTTTTGTAATTTTTTTTATTTTTAGTGAATTTTTAAAATATTTTTAATTTTTTAGATATACTTAATATAAATACAATTAAAAAGTATAATATTTGTAAAAAAAAAAAAAAAACTTTAAAAATTCGGAGACAAGTTGCTTTCTCCACTGGGCCACCACCCCTGGTGGTAAAATTTTATAAGCTTAGTTGACAAAATTTTGCTCGCTTTCCTTTTAGTGTTTTTTTTTTTTCCCCGAAAATTTCAAATTTTCAGGTCATTAAGCTGAGCAGATTTAAAAAGTTTTAGGAAAAAAAAAAGAGTTGATTAAATTTTTTTAAAAATTCACTAATATATATATATATACATATATGAAAAATAAAAAAACCTAAATTTCAGAAAATTAGAACCAAATAAGGTTTCTTTAAATATTCGGAAACAATATTGAACGTAAGGTACAACTTGGGTGGGCTCTACCCGACTAATTTTGAGACTAACGTAAAGTGACCTGCGTGCGTGGTTTCAAGAAATTGATAGTACCTAATGAGAATTACACCTGAAACATGCAAAAAGCACACTCTAAATCTCAAACTGCATCCACTAGGCTAAACTTTTGAAGTTATGTATATATAAATTACATGGTCGACTCTAGAATAAAGTCTCGTTTGGTAGAGCTGTGCGAAAGTAATTATAGATTATGACTTAACAGATTATAAATTATAACTTAAAAATAAGTTGTTAACCTGTTTGATGCAGTTGTGAGATTATAAATTTAATCAGTCGAGTAGTTTTTGGTTGAATAAGTTGTAAAATAATTTTTTGCTGTGTAATGTCTTTTTTGCCCTTTTTCATTTTATTTTTATATATTCATTTTAATTATTTATTTCTATATTTATTTTCTTTATTATTATTATTATTATTATTATTTTCTTGTTATTTCATTTTCTTTCATTAATATCAATTGGCAACAATTGTTATTTTTTCATTTACTTCAATTTTAATTTTTTAAAAAAATTTGTGATTCTTTTTTATTAATTTTTTTTCATTACAATTAATAATATAAAAATTATTATTTTTTTAATTTATTAATTCATTACAAAATATAACAATTAATAATTATTTATTAACTTTTTTCCATTAACCCTAGCTACTGTCGCTGGTGGCTAGGGTTTCACATCGCAAATCGCAATTGCGACGGTGAGCTCTAGTGGATCAATCGTGATGGTGAGTTCTAGTTTGATATCGTGACGCGACGATGAGCTCTAGTTTGAGATCGTCACGTCGTCGATGGTGGTGGTTAGGGTTAGTCGACGCCAGAAATTACCGAAAATCGTCTCCATCTCTCTTTGGTTTATGAATAGTATTGAGATGTGGTTTATATATTTGGATTTTGGGTAATAATTGAAATTGATAATGAGCATTTAAGTAATCCTGTACCTCCAATACAGCTTTCCGCTTAAGTTGTAATTGCTTAAGCACCTCCTAGCCCACTTCTCAAAATTCATGATTTTTGGCTTAAATTAAACTACCAAAAGCCGAGTTAAGCTGAACCAAACACTCAAAATAGCTTAACTTAAGCCAAAAGCTGAGTTAAGCTGTTTTTAAGCAATACCAAACACCCACTAAGACTAGCAAGACCTATGCCTAAGACCAAAGAAAAGGCTCGTAGATTCATTAGTTTTGTACTATATTAAAATTTAAAAAATAGCCCAATTTTGTTTCATTAATTTAGGCTAGTTTAAGGGCCAAAAAAATTATATTTGACCCAATTGATAAAAAGCCCAATAAAAAAATATTTAGAAGTGTTAGCTGTTAGCCAATTGAAAAAATATAAAATAAAATATATGTGTATGTATTAGTCTTTAGCCCCATTCTATTTGGCCTTTTTTTCTTTCTTTTTTTTTTTTCTTTTTTTTTAACTCTCTCTTTATGGCTCAATTATGTGTTTTTTTAGTGGATTTTTAAAATATTTTATGCAATTTTTTTATTTTATTTTGTAGATACACCTAATCTAGATACTTAAAAAGTATAATATTTATGATTTTTTTTTTTAAAAAAAAATACCAAATATAAAAAAATACGAATTGCAAACTCATAAAATTATTTTTAAAAATTCTAAATCAAACCGAGTGATTTTTATTTTTATTTTTTATAAATATTAGAAGGCTTTGGAAAATTATTTCGCCTTACACCTCTGGAAACTCACGGCTGACCCAAATAAATTATTAGCCTATTATATTGAATATCTATTATGTACATAAATAACATAACACAAAATGTTATATTTTTCTTTTCTCACTCAGAAATTGTAAATGCCACAGTAGTGACACAACCGTTCTTTAATTTTTATATCTATATCACATTATATAAATTATTTATTTTAATATTATTAATGATTTTATTTCAAAAAGTTATAGATAGAAAAAGGATTTTAACAAATTAATTATCTAGCTACACCAACCAAAAAAAAAAACTCAAATTTTTGTGTAATTCATACTACATATCATGAATTCATTATTTCTAACTTTTATCACAAAATGATATAAAACAGTCGTTTTAGATCATATATTATCCCACATGGTACTCCTAGAATATTTATTTAAATGATACATTTTTCTATATTTTGTAATTTTTATTTAAATCTACTTTTCTCACTTCTTAAAATTAAAAGTTATTAATTAATACTAGCAGGCTATTTGTGCCATTCACAAAATAGTTTTTTTTTTTTCCTTCAAAATAATGCTCTATACTTTTAAAATAAAAGTTACGAACTATTATGAAATACAGGCTGTATATGTCAACATAAATTTCAGAACATAAACTAGCATTTTCTAAAAGTATAACTTAAATAAATATATAAATATTTATATATATATATATATAGAATACTCTTCTGTTTTTAATAAATCACTGTTCTATTTTTTATTCATTTATTACATGTGAGTGTATTGAATGGAAATATGGAGGAAATATAAAAAGTCACATAATTTTGTACAAAAGTTTTATTTGTACATCAATTATTCCTTCTTTAGCAAAGTTGAAACGTGGCTAAAGCCTTGTTTGGGAACATATTATTTTAGTAACTTTTTGACTTTTTATGAAAAGATATACAGAAAAATAAAGAGAGTGATGTGATAACTTATAGTGACTTTTTATTTTTTAGCTAAAATATATAGTTGACAAACGAGACCTAAGTACAACTCTTATTCAATAGCAAAATTGCACTATTATGATTTTTATTTTTAGTTTGGTAGTAAAAATTAAACTTGTTTTCTAGCCAAACTTGCACTGTTTTATAAACTCCATTTTCTTTTAATTATTTTTCTTCCTCATCCCTTGCCAATAATGAACTTCTTAACCATTGAAGGCTCACTCTCTCTCTGCATGAGAGATTTGTCAGACAACTGTAACTTTCATACACAACAAACCAAAATCAATTATTCCCTTCTCCATTGAAATCAAAATTTTGTTGATTATAAACTGAGCATTTTTACTCGTTTATCATTTTAGAAGTTTTGAGTCAGAAGCAGAAAAAGATGACTAGACTAAATCAAACACATGTTGAAGAAGACACTCGCTCATAGACGCTGACAATCATATAGCGTCTGAAGGCCCAACGCACGAGGGACACATCCAGTTTCAATCTCTTAAATGTCCGCTGCAAGAAAGTTCCCAGAAAGAGTAACCTGTGAATTCGTTCATGTTTGGCATCTCATTGCTATATAGACAAAAAACAAGAGAGAAAAAAAGAGAACTTTTCAAACTGCTTTCTATCTTAAAACGCACCTTGTCACCAAGTTTGAATGGAGGTAGACCCCTGTAAGGGCATGTGCCGCATCGAAAAGCATCACCTAGTCCACACTGCAAGCAAGAGCAAATTGAACTCAATAGAAAACAAATAAATATAAGAAGAAGAAAAAAAAATTAAAGTTCCACGACTCTGTCATGGCAGTTAAAAGTTTACGCGTTTATTTGTTAAACAAGTATATAAACCTAATCCAGTCTAGAGATGCCATAAGAAAACAGCAATCGGTATTATAAACAAAAAGAAATTAATTTAACAAAGCACATACACTGCCACATGCTGATTGAGGATTGTTCAGCTGGTCCCTAGTCAGTCCTAGCTTCTGCACCTTCTCCTCTTCCTCAGCTCTTCCACAAGTGCAATTTTTGCAGGCTTTCCTCATACTTGAAACTTCACAATCACCAACTGCGTACACATGTTAATTAAATGTGTGAATTACAAGTTAAGAGAAAATTACACGGAACAAAATTCATATAATCAGGGAAAGTGTGACATTCAAAACAATAGAACTTAAATGTCATTGTCTTACTAGGTGGCAACTGAGGTTTCTTCAAATCCTCCTCAGTCAAGAGGCTATCCTCATCAATCAAATCCATATCATCATCAATCTGGACTTTGGGCAAGCTTTTTGCGGGCTTGCTCTTGAGAGAAAAGGATGAACCAATCTTCCAAGAAGGTTTCCTGGCTTTAATCTGTTGAGAAAAGGAAACAAATTCAAATCCATGTTTTGTGAGACACAATAACAATAACCTAATCAATTTAAATCATCATTTTCACTGTTTGTCAAAGACGTCTAGGAGCAACAACTGCGTGTTGGGTTGTGTAATTAGTATGATTCTGAAATTCCTCATAATTCCAAAAGATTTGGGACATCAACTCAAAACCCAAACCTAAGGTTAGAAATCAATAATACGCTTCCATATTTTCCCGCAAAGAAAAAAGATAAAATTAAAAGCTTTGTACATGTATAAGCATCCACAAGGTCTCCTCATTTTACCCTATCCTTCATAGACGGGGAACAGAAATTGCAGATGGAGAATTGAAATTCATTGATAATACTGGTTGACACACATTCAAAGAACAGTCAGGGCTCACTATTTTCACTTGACCAAGAAGGGTGGGGTGATTTTTCGTGTCAAGAAAAAACAAAAAAAAAAAATACTCACCCCAACAGGCTGTACGCCCTCAGATTGTAAAACTGACTACACAGGAAAACCTGTACATCTAGGAACCCTGCCACCAGTAACTTGAGCTCAAGAGAAGAGGTTTTCTGCAAAAAGACAGAAATAAGTCCCTTATAATTTGATATTCCACCAAGAAAGAAACAACATAACTGTGACGTCACCTTTTCCCCTGTTGCAGATACAGAATACTGTTGAAGTAGGACCATTCCACCAGGCCTCAACACACTTGAGATCTCCCCAAACAACTGATCACCAGGAAATTCAAACGATCCACAGATGACAAATCCACTGGCAGCTGACCTGCACTAATCACAGTCAACAATAGGAAGCTGATATAAATAGAATACACATTCAAACTAAATTAAACTGAAGAAAAAAAAGGACTAGATCTTCCATCATTCTTCGGCCCAAAAGTTAGTCTAGCATCTTGGTGAGATCTAGTGTTGTTTAATATTGCCCAGTTTTTAAGTTGATGCATGGATGACCACATAGCATTATTTATGAGTTTCCATTATGCATTGCATTGATTGGTTTTTAGAGGAAATGAAAATATTATTGTGCTATTGGGGCGGGAATAGTAAGCCCTGGAGGCTCATAACTCGGTGCCAACAACCACTGCATTTATTGTTCATTCATATCACAGTTCAACATCTAATCGTAGACTTTCTTATACCTGCTTCTCTGTTTAGACATATTTTTCTTCTCCCTGCATGTGTCATATTTCTGTAGTTCTCTCTCCACCAAGCAATTCTTTTTTTATTTTTTTCACCCATGTTTGCCCTTAACACAATCATTTTTTTGGACAATCAGGTTAGTCTCTTGGAAGTCCTTGTATGGTTATCAAAATTCCTGATTTTTTTAAATTGGTTATCAACTGGGGTAGAGAAAATAAGAGTAGCTTTTTAAAATTTTCAGTTTATATATCTAATGTAAATCCATATCCTTTATTTATATCAATATTTTGTGAGATGAAATACTGACACTTGATGCTAATGATGGCAGTAGTTTCTGGATATTTTGCTTTCAAAATTTTCATTTCGACTTTAAATAATACTCCTTGTTCAATACAAAAGCTTTCTTGTTCTTTCTCTTTCACAATTTTTTTTTTTTTTCAAGAAGACGACAAAGAACAAAAGAAAAACAAAAAGAACAAGCTTCTTCTCACATGCTACCCAAACATCCAAATGGTTGCCAAAATATCTTGCATAGTAAACTAAAAAAGAAGAAGGCAGAGACAGACCAAAAGAGAGAGAGAGGGGAAAAGGAAAGTTACTTCTTAGATGGTATTGAGTCATTTATCAGACTTCCAAAAATACATATCCACTAAGAAAATTGAGATATGCATGTAATTTGTGAGTTGGAACATTGGATTCTTAAATTTATAGTGAAGGATGAGAAACATACTTAGCAATGAAGCTTGAGTGATGATTAGAGGATCAATCTGCTCCAGTCCTTCATTCTTGATCATCTTGATGGCATTTAAAACTGCACTAATAGGCAGCACTGCCAGATCTGTAAGTGCCAAAACACTACTCTGCATCACTATAGTATCCTGCAAAAGAAATTGACAAAATAATTCCTTATGATAAATAATCAAATTAAAATATTTAATAAGTAGCATGTAAGCATTCAAAATTCATCTACAATGTTTAAATAAACATCAAAAGTGTCATATAGACTTTTTCATGACCCTTGTATTTGAAGCGTTGGATAGCTTAATATGCATTGTTGACACCATAGCTTTATATACATTGTTGAGCCCATTTCCTAAGAGCTTAACCTTTTGGGACAATTGGTGACTTGACATTGTATCGCAGCTCAAGTTGGACAAGATCTTGGGTTCTAGTCTCTCCAATTACATTTATTCTTCATTTGAATTATGCTTCTCTCTCTATTTATGTCTGTTTGAATCTCCACATACAAGACGGGATTGCATATAAAGGAAGGTTTTGGATAGCTTGATATATATTGTGAGGCTATTTCCTAATAATTTAAGCTTTTAAGATAATTGATGACTTAAACATAAAAAGCTCCTTAACATATATGCTTCAGAGGAAGCATATATATTCTCAAAAAACCAACACAATGAAGTTATCAGCCAACAAATTCCAAGGGAAAACCGACCATCAAAGCCACTTATTTCTACAAGGAATGAAAATATCAATAGAAAAATACTAGCATAAAAATAGCCTAGTAAGAACGGTCCTCGTGTATTCATCTTTTTATCCTCTTTTCCTAAACAATTGAGAGCAAAATGGCCACAAAACACAAACCAAAATACACACTCCTAATCTCAAATCAATATATATAAGCACACTTTCTAATAGAAGAGGTAGAGGCTATCCCTGATGGGAAGTTTTCTACAAATTGTGGAACCTTAAAGAGAACATGATAAAGACACCACATTGCCAATGGAAATTGGTTAATGTTCCTAAAGCCCATGGATCACACTACTAATAAATAAAGCATTTAATTGAGGGCTATAAATTTTGGTACCTAGGTTGGCCCATCTCCCTGGTCAACCTAACTAGCACCAAATGATTGGGGCCGATCCAACCACGTATGGGCTTGAAGATAGGTCGAAACCCACAACCAGTAGGTGGGAGACTTGGACCAAGAATGGTGTACAGCTAGGAATCCATCTCCTAGGCACACTGTCTAGAAGATAACATGGGATAAGGTGAATCTTATCTCAAAAACCCATAAATCAACTAGCACGAAACCAAGAAAAGGGAGTTATCCATAATTGGAATAAGAATTTGTCACTCAAGTGAGACTAGGAACTCAACACTACAAACATAGCATCTATAAATGTGTTAATGTACAAGCAAGTTGATACTAAGAATTTAAGCAATTACTGTAAGTCTATAACACAGTTACACACAAACAAAGCCTACTGACAACCAATATGACCATAGAATTGTGACACCAGGAGATTTGAACCTTAGATCTGTTAAATGAGCTTAAGTCACCAATCACTTATCTAAAATATTTAAGTACTTATCTCAGTTCTTGTTTTCAGTATCTAGCTAAAACTTACAGAAATTATCAAACATGACCAACAAAGGCAGCATGAACACTTCGGAGGCACCAATATATGACAAATGAAGACACTTGGGAATCAAAATAGTAGATTTTTGCGTGCACCAAGTTGGTAGCATATGCATATGCACTTATCGTTGGACAAAACTTGTACCACGAAGTAATGAAGAAATGCTTCTAGATACTAAGGGTTGATTTGGCATGAACTATATAATCTATCTTTTTATCTTTTTTTCATCACATCACCTCTCTACTTTTCTGCACATCTTTTCGTAAAAAGACAAAAAGTGCACTTTTTTAGGACACCCCAAACCAACCCTAACTATAGATCACGGTTCAAACTACAAAATTACTCCCACCCCCCTCCCCCATGACAAAGATGACAAGTCCTCTCTAGACTGGCATAGAAAACTATATTTTCAAATTATACAACAAAACTTGAAATTATAAAATTGACCTCCAATTGTTTACTGCCGAAGTTTGAGAAACAATGGTATATCATACGGCAACGTTACGACCAATTAATGTAGAGCAGTAGAGTTTAAACCCATAGTTCCATTTTTAAAACTTGAAAAAAGTTCAATGTGGGTACATCCTTTATGAAGCACTTTCCATTTCTAATAGTAAGAATATCATCATGCAAGAGCTTGCATACTCACCAAAACAAATAATAATAAATAAATAATCCAATACCTTGCAAATAGCATGGTGATACAAAACCCTAGTAGATTTGAACATTTTTTTTTTTTTTTGGGGCAATGGGGGGAGGGGAAACATGAACAATCAAACATTGATATATGCAACAAAACATTCATTTGAGTTGAGAAAATAACAAAAATCCAACAACCAAGCAGAAATACAAAATATGCATGATTCACAAGTTCTCATCGATTAGGTCGTCGCGGCTTTCAAAAGCAATATTGAACAAACGCACGCTTGAGAAAGAGAGGCACCTGAGATGGTTAGTCGGCGGCCGGGCGAAGAGGGGTGATGATGTTTGAGAAGAAATTTTTTTTTTTTTTGTTTTTTTGAGTTTGGATGGAGAAGAATTTTTTTTTTTTTTGTTTTTTTGAGTTTGGATGCTATGGTGCTAAGAAATAAAATAAAATAATTATAATTTAGGCAAATTACACTAATAATTTTTTAGTTTAGGACTTTTGTGACTTTAATTTTTTATTTTTAATTGTGATATTTTTTTTTTTGAATTTTAAATCTTATTTAAGAATATTTTCTTTACAAAGTTAATTTTAAAATAGAATCGTCATACAATTTATTTTATATTGGTTATCTTATATTTTGTTTGAAAGGTAATGGTATTTTTTTAATGAATAGTCGTGGAATTTTCTTTGTTATAAAATTTTGTTTTGTTTGTTTTTGAGAATCTATTTTCAGGGAAAAAAAATAATTTAAGAAACTAAAATTTAAATTGGTAAAAAAAAATTAAAAATGCATTATTTTTATATAATTTTTATCTTTTGAGAGGGTATAAATAATTTTTATTATTTTTTTGATATTTGTTTTCTTTAAATTAGTTTTTATTTTTATAAAAGTCAAATATTTCGACAACTTAGATGTCATTATTAAATCAATCCATTAAATCAAAAAATCTAAAACTAAATATTTCATATATTAAACCTAACGATTACACATTAAAAACATAATAACCATCCATTACATGATAATTATCCAAAAATATTTATGATTAATAAATATAACTATTTATTACAGGACAACTATTCAAAAATATAAATAAAAATAATCACTCATTACATGATTATCATCAAAACACATATTAAAAATTAATTTGGTAAAAATATAAAATATTTATCATTTTTATATAATTTTATTTTTGGTGGGTAGAAATAATTTTTAAAAATTAATTTTTTTTTGAAATTTATTTTTGTCAAACTAATTTATATTTTATCAAATTAATGACTTTACTCTTGAAATGGAACAACGGTGCCTTCAATTCTCCTTATTTGGAATGAGATTCAAAATTCAGGATCAAATATATCATAATTGAAAGGTCAAGGGCTAGAGTGAAAGAAGTCCTAAATTACAGGGACCCTTAGGTGCCGTTTGGTAACACTTACGTTTTCTGTTTTCTGTTTATATTTACAAAAATTTTAAAAACTCAAATAAAAACTTGTTTGGTAAAATTTTTGATTTATAAATCAGTGGTCTCAGTTTATAAATTTGGCCAAAAAATGAAAACACAAAAAATGTGTACCAAACACACCCTTAGTGTAATTTGTCCTATAATTTAAATATAATATTTTATCTTATTAATTTATTTAATATATTTTGTATTTTTATACTTATTTAGTCAAAAAAATTGTTGCCAAACGGCAACTATGCTAATAGAAGTGAGTTATGTTCATGGGTCGGGTTTGATGCAAATTTTAATTTATATGAAAATGGTAAGATATAAAACAAAAAATAATTGAGTAAAAATTAATATATAATATTTTAGTGATTTTAATTTTGTTATAATAAAAAATTAAATTACATATTATACATATTTAATAAATATAATTAGAAGGAAGCAAAATTCGTCCCCCACCCCCACTTCTTCATTGAGGTAAATAAAAATCTATGTGAGGCTGAACTGGAGATACGAGGTGGAACGGAGCAGGGTGGGACGAAGGAAAACAATTATTTCAATACCTCTATGCTCACAATATATAAATATATATGTAAAAGTACTCTTTTTATTGAAGAATAGATTATAGTGAATATCCTTAAATTATACGCGTAATTTATTTGCATTTCACTTCATAAACTTTAAAACACAATTGTTAATCACATTTAATTATTATTTTATTAACTTCACTTATTCTGTTATAATTTTGTCATAGAATTTAAACAAAATCAGTTAATAGGTGAAATACATTATACACTTATTGATTTTTTAGATAATAATCAGTGTTTTGGTTTCAATTTTATGGATTTAATTTTCTAAAAATTGAATTTTTTTAGTTTTTCTTAGTTTTTTGTTTTTAATTAATATTTTTGAAATTTTAAGCAATTTTTTTACTTTTTTAAAAGTAAAATTTTTGTAATTTTTTTTTAAAAAATCAATAAATACACAGGAATACGAAAAATGTACTAAATTTGTGTATTTTTTTATTTTTTATTTTTTATTTTTAGTATTTAGTGAATTTTCTAAAGATTTTTTCCATCAATATTATACTTTTTAAGTGTATTTATGTTTAGTATATCTAAAAATTAAAATAATTGCTTATAATATTAAAAAAATTCAGTGAAAACAAAAAAATATATATATGAAAAATAAAAAAATTCAATTTTTTGAAAAGTGAATTCTAAAAATCTAAACCAAACAAGCTGAATACATTTTATAATTTTTGAAGGATAATAACATCCTAATATGATGCTTTCATTTGCACTTTTGTTTTTATTAACTTAGTGGCAAAGAACAAACGGAATCACCAAATAATGATATTATTGCCCTAAAAATTTAATAATTGTGTCATATATTTTACGTATGATCTGATTTTATGTAAATTTTTAACAAATTTCTAACAAAAGGGTTAATCGTGATAACATATATTTGAAGTGATTATCTGTTGATGTTGAAATTTAGGCAAGTAAAATGCAAATTCAGCCTCGTTTGGGGAGTACTTATTTTAGCTAAAAAGTCATTATACTCTCTCTACTTTTCTGTACATATTTCATAAAAAGTCAAAAATTACTAAAATAGCATGTTCCCAAATGAGGCCTTAGTCATAATTTAAGGGAGTTTAT